CTATCAGTATATCTGTTACCGACACGAGAGTATGTATGTGTATGTATGTATGTATGTATGTATGTATGTATGTATGTATGTATGTATGTATGTATGTATGTATGTATGTATGTATGTATGAGCAGTTTTGCCCATGTGCCTCACCTGCACATTGTAACCAGATTCCACTGGCGCACAGTAAGTGGTAAACAGTGGCGGGTGTCACGTGGACCACGCACCAGAGGGCGTCAGATGAAAACAGTCAACATCCGGGGTGTGTGTTACACCACACTGCCAGGCCCACCACCTATCACACCTACACCAGTACCAGTACCAGTACCATGTACTGGAATAGATACAGTAAACAAAGCATCTACCCACTATATAATATGGAGCCAAAATTATGCAGTACATAATGTCAACGGGTCTGAGGTGTACAAGATGAGGGTGAAGAATAAGATCAGTTGTCTCATTATAAGCACGTATTGTAATGAGGTCCAAGATCGCCTCTATTATTGGCCTTTTTAGAGAACTTGCTCCTTGATATCTCGGCAGAAGAGCACTATCAAGCCGCTCCAAGCAACAGCCTGTTGGACCAAACTCTCACAAGTCAAGCCTGGCCTCGGGCCGAGTTTGGGGAGTAGAAGAACTCCCAAAACCCCATCAACCAGGTATGAACCAGGTATATCAAATATACTGTTCACGAGAGTCAGATCTACTTCGCAGTCCCAACATTGTTCAGTTGATATCTGGTGACCTTAAAATCGTTTCCTATGCTTAGAACTCTACATTAGTGATCGGGATTGTTGAAGGAAAGGTTAGTCCCATGTGTGTGTGTGGGGGGGGGGGGGCTGGGTATTAAGAAATGCCTCCCGTGGGCCAATATGTCTTCTGCAGTTTCCTCTCTTCTTAACACTAATCCTTCTGATGCCTCCACAAGACTGAAAAATCCTACTATTATTCCTTATCCAAACATTATTCAAATTAATGGTGAATGTGGCATAGTTATAATTGTCTGTCGGGTTCCACCGCCCCGCAGAAGGAGGCCCCTCGACTGCATTGTTGCTTCTGTCACCTGCAGAGACAGCGTCTTAGAGGGTCACCCCCTTAAGACGCCTCGAGACGGTAACACAAATACCCACAAGAAATACAAAGTGATGGTGGAACACAGGACAGTTGTCACTCTGCCTCAAGACAATTTGCCTGAGCTTCTTGCCCTTAAGCCTGTAATCCCTATACCACCCTTCCCTTCTATCCCACAGTGACCCATCCCATAGTGACCCATCGCACAGTGACCCATCGCACAGTGACCCATCCCACAGTGACCCATCCCTCCTATATTTCACTCTTATTTCTCCAGCCCTCCAAGATCTAAGCCAACTCTCTGTCTACCCCCTAACCCACCCTCAGCCCTCACGCTCCCTTCACCCTGCCTCCCCTTCCCTCAGCCCTCACTCTCCCTTCCCCCTGCCTGCCCTTCCCTCAGCCCTCACTCTCCCTTCCCCCTGCCTCCCCTTCCCTCAGCCCTCACCCTCCCTTACCCCCTGCCTCCCCTTCCCTCAGCCCTTACTCTCCCTTCCCCCTGCCTGCCTTTCCCTCAGCTCTCACTCTCCCTTCCCCCTGCCTCCCCTTCCCCCTGCCTCCCTTTCCCTCAGCCCTCACTCTCCCTTCCCCCTGCCTCCCCTTCCCTCAGCCCTTACTCTCCCTTCCCCCTGCCTGCCCTTCCCTCAGCTCTCACTCCCCCTTCCCCCTGCCTCCCCTTCCCCTCAGCGTCCCGTCCCTGAGCCAGGGGGGGCCGCCCGCCCCAGCTGGTCCACACGCCATCACATTACTCAAGCTTCATTACCAGCCCAGTTTCCACTCTGGCTCATTATTATTATAAGCTTACAACCGAGGCTTATATGATGAGCTTACAGCCGGGGCTTACATGATGAGCTTACAGCCGGGGCTTACATGATGAGCTTACAGCCGGGGCTTACACGATGAGCTTACAGCCGGGGCTTACATGATGAGCTTACAGCCGGGGCTTACATGATGAGCTTACAGCCGGGGCTTACACGATGAGCTTACAGCCGGGGCTTACATGATGAGCTTACAGCCGGGGCTTACACGATGAGCTTACAGCCGGGGCTTACATGATGAGCTTACAGCCGGGGCTTTACAGCCGGGGATGATAAGCTTACAGCCGGGGCTTACATGATAGCTTACAGCGGGGCTTACACGATAAGCTTACAGCCGGGGCTTACATGATGAGCTTACAGCTTACATGATGAGCTTACAGCCGGGGCTTACATGATGATGCTTACAGCCGGGGCTTACACGATGAGCTTACAGCCGGGGCTTACATGAGCTTACAGCCGGGGCTTACATGAGCTTACAGCCGGGGCTTACATGATGAGCTTACAGCCGGGGCTTACATGATGAGCTTACAGCCGGGGCTTACATGATGAGCTTACAGCCGGGGCTTACACGATGAGCTTACAGCCGATGATGAGCTTACAGCCGGGGCTTACATGATAAGCTTACAGCCGGGGCTTACATGATGAGCTTACAGCCGGGCTTACACGATGAGCTTACAGCCGGGGCTTACATGATGAGCTTACAGCCGGGGCTTACACGATGAGCTTACAGCCGGGGCTTACATGATAAGCTTACAGCCGGGGCTTACATGATGAGCTTACAGCCGGGGCTTACACGATAAGCTTACAGCCGGGGCTTACATGATAAGCTTACAGCCGGGGCTTACACGATAAGCTTACAGCCGGGGCTTACAGAGCCCCAGTCCGCTCATCTTTATTCTGTGCCCACAGCGGCTCACAGGGGTGAGTACACTCACAGCCCTCTCACAGATATTCCCATGGGTCCTGACAGCTGAGTCGACAGCGCTTCGGATTCGTTGTCCCGAGTTCGATCCCCGGTGGCGGCGGAAACAAATGGGCAGAGTTTCTTTCACCCTGATGCCCCTGTTCACCTAGCAGTAAATAGGTATCTGGGAGTTAGACAGCTGCTACGGGCTGCTTCCTGGGGGTGTGTAACAAAAAGGAGGCCTGGTCGAGGACCGGGCCGTAGGGACGCTTTGCCCCGAAATCATCTCAAGATAAGATAAGACCTAGTGCTCCCTTTTGTCCAACCGACTCTCATTCATTATATATCTATATAGAAATATAGCATTATATATATATATATATATTATATATTCTATTGATATATAATATTATATATATATATTATCTATATATATAACGACGCTTGAAACAATCCAGCGTGTATTATGTTATCCGGTAATTTGTTCCCTAAATCGTAAACCATATTTCCGTTTTTCCTGATTTGAACTTTGCCAATTTGTATTACTTTTTCTCGTGTCCATGGTGGGGAGGGGAGGGGGGAGATAGGAGGGGGGGGGAGGTAGGAGGGGGGGAGGAGGAGGAATCCCCCGACGGTTCCACGGTTCCCTTGGGGCACCATGGGGCACATTCTTCCCCCCCCCATCCCCCTGTCCATCCCAAACTTATCCTGACCCCTTCCAAGTGCCATATAGTCGTGATGGCTTGGCGCTTTCCCCTGATAATCCCTCCCTCGTGTTGATATCGCCCCCCCCGCCTTACTTGATTTGATGATTGTTGCCGTCGGAGGCGGCCAGTTTATTCTTATCTTATTTACTGACCTCCACTACCGCGCGGTGGTGGTAGGCGACCCCTTCAAACGTCGCCCCTCCCTTTATTGGCAGGTGTGTGTGGGGGGGGAGGGTTGTTTGATGTGTGTATGGGGTTGTCAGGTGTGTGGGGAAGGTTGTCAGGTGTGTGGGAGGGTTGTCAGGTGTGTGGGGAGGGTTGTCAGGTGTGTGGGGAGGGTTGTCAGGTGTGTGGGGAGGGTTGTCAGGTGTGTGGGGAGGTTTGTCAGGTGTGTGGGGGTTGTTTGATGTGTGTGGTGGGGTTAGGTGTCAGATGTGGTGGTTGGGTGTCAGGGTGTGTGTGGGGGGGGGGGGTTAGGTGTCAGTGTGGGGTTGTCAGGTGTTTGGTTAGGTGTGTGTGTGGGGGGGGGTTAGGTGTCAGATGTGGGGGTGGGGGGGGGGGGTCCAAACATTAGTTGTCGTACTGTCAACGCTCCTCGTTATGGGTCCCATAGTTTTGTATTAAACAGACATTCCAGTTTAATATTTTCAGGCTAAAGATCCCTACAAATCACAAGAGCCGCATCTTCAAAAAAAGCCACCCATATATTGCCTTAAACGGAATGTATCCTCCATTCTAGGTCATATTGTAAGTGTGTGCTGAGTGTCCTTAGTGATTCTCCAGGCGCAGTTTTGTGTCACTATTACTGTTGGTGTTCTGCACTCCTCTCTCTAAATCACTTGTAGTATATAATGAAGGTAACAACAGAGCCCTGGTGCACTTCCCACTTTCCACAAATATTACAGCTAGTTAACAGTGAAATTAGGAACTCCTGGACTTAAGCTTTAAATATATCTCTATATCTTTAATAGTGTACATTTCACGTTGCTGTGGACTGTACTTTAGTTTGTAACACGAGAGAGCGTGAATAGGAGTTCAGTCGGGGGTGACCTGAGTGAACTATCCTCATCCTCATCCTCATTCTCTCTCTCTCTCTCTCTCTCTCTCTCTCTCTCTCTCTCTCTCTCTCTCTCTCTCTCTCTCTCTCCTCTCCCTCTCTCTCTCTTCTCTCTCTCTCTCTCTCTCTCTCTCTCTCTCTCTCTCTCTCTCTCTCTCTCTCTCTCTCTCTCTCTCTCTGAGAACCTGGCACACAATGTCATTCATTGAAAAATACCACTGATGCCTTCTTGTCGTCTATGGACAAATGAAACTTGGATATATCACATTTACTGATGGATGATGATTGATAGATGCGTGTGTTTTAATATCATATGATGAGTATAATCTTTGTGTGTGTGTGTGTGTGTGTGTTTGTGTGTGTGTGTTTGTGTGTGTGTGTGTGTGTGTGTGTGTGTGTGTGTGTGTGTGTGTGTGTGTGTGTGTGTGTGTGTGTGTGTGTGTGTGTGTGTGTACCACAAACAATGATCAGAACCTACCTGAAGTGAGAAGTGGAGGCGTGTTGGGAGGCAGCCGTGGGTGTGCCATGGGCGGGAACTGGCGTGGGAGGCCCGTAGCGGGCGAGCCACTCTGGCGATGGTGTGCTGCCGGCGGCGAGGTTCCTTGGCATGGGTGTGAGGGAGATGGGGCGGCTGTCAGACGTGGGTGCTGCATGGGAGGTGAGGCCGAGTACCAAGGTGGGTGTGACGCCGATGGTACCAGCACCTGGAGTGGCTGTAACGCCGGCGAGGACGAGGCGCGGCTTGGGTTTGACCCCGATGGCGATGCAGCCTTTTGTGTGCGTATCGTTGGTGGCGATGTTGCCTGGTGTGGGTGTAGCATGGGCGGGGACGAGGCGGGGTGTGTCCGTGCTGAGGGCGGGGACGCACTCTGGCGTGGACGGGCTACAGGCGGGGAAGCTGCCTGACGCGAGCGAGATGGAGGCATCTTGCCGAATGCAGTAGCGGCGTCTCCATCATAATCACTGTTGTCGGAGGTGCAGCGGGAGGAGGCACTGAGGGCTGAGCTTGTCCTGGAGGCTGGACCACGGCTGGACGTGAAGGACCCGTCCTCCTGCTCCACCTCTATCTCTATTATCCGCGTCACTCCCTGGCCAGACGTCTGGGGTGAGCGGCGCACTTGTGAAGTGGGCGTGCCCTGGTCAGGTGGTCTGCCGCTAGCATGAGGGCGTGGGTGCTCCCTGGGGGCGGCCATGGGTTGGGAGGTACTTCGCCTGTGGTGGATGAAGGCGGGATCATGGGTAATTGGTGTGCTGGTGATGGGCCCTGAGCTGATGTAGCCGCCCAGATTTTCAGTTAGTGGCATTGCGGGGGAGTGTGGGCGGCGGGAGGGCTGGGAGCGTTCTCGCCCCGCCCTGCTGGGAGAGTGGACCCGTGAGCGAGGCATGGAGTGGAACCTTGCTGGGTCGTGAGCCAGGCTGGGGGACAGGCGGGAATTGTCGGCCGGGTTATGATCGTGGGCTTGTCGGTGTTTACGGGGCAGCGTTGAGGGCCTCTCTTCGCAGACGTGTTCCTGTGGCAGGTCTGGGAGCAGGCGGCGCCGCTGAGGCACAGGAGGGGAGTCGAAGGAAGGCTGACGGTGAAGGATGTAGGAATCTGGTGACCTGGAGTCCTCCTGGCAGTGGCTTAGGGACGGGAGAGGAGGCGCAGGACTCTTCAGGTGTTGAAGATCAGGGGAAACGGCATCAAAGCTGCTCATACTATACCGGCGGGGTGACACCCACCGGGGTGGGTACTGTGGGGCGTCCCACGGGGGCTCGTTCTCGTCTGTGGGTGTTCGGTGCCCGCGGGGTGCTTTGTGGAGCGTCGAGGTGGCCTGAAGCTCAGGTGAGATCCGCTCCACGCTCGCTGGACCTGCAAGACACACAACACATGAGACACCAATGATAACATTATCACCGCTCAATAAAGGAGACACAATCATCATATAACAGGTAACAATAACAGAAAACGCGGGAAACGGAAGCACATGAACAAGACACTGCAGCAATTGAACACAACAGGTGGAGGAGAGGAACGTTAAGCGTGACACAAACACAAGAGAGTAAGGCTGGCGCCAGGATCCATGGCAGCCCCGTGCACGGATGCCCCAAGCTCAGGTATTTGTTTACAGGCGGTTGTGCGGGGCCATTTATTCACATTTACTCATGTGGGAAGGTAACTGATGAGTCCGAGTGATGATCATTTGTGTTAATTTACTCTTTAACATCAACAGTTTTATATTCGTCAACTCACATTAAATCTAGAATAACCTTCTCCTGTGAAGGTTCGTTAAGCATTTGTTTTAGAAAGCAATTACGGGCGTCCCCCCCCCCCCAAGAACTTCTCTGGCTCATTCATTTAGCAACCTATTTCCAAGAGGCCAAGTTTACGGGCTCACCATAGCCCGTGCTACATGGACACTTCGTTCTGAGTAGCTAAATCTGAAACAACAAGAACAACAGGCCAACCAGAAATCTACGACCCACGCACGAATCTTTCTTCAAAAATCAATAAATATAACACCTGGCACAACACAGAGAGCCAACCCAACCTTTAGTTATGCGAGTGAAATAACTGAACACAATTTGTGTTATTGTGTCATTAGAGGGAAGCAATAGCCATTTTTTTCTATACCTTGGAGGCACAAGCTATTATAAAATAGCACTTATTTGACATTAATTAATAGCCTCTTCATGTGATACTCAGCCACTTAAGTCCTCGCGCCTACAGCACTAACACAGGAGCATAGGATGCTGCAGAAGGTCTATAGGCCTAACTTAACACAGGAGAGAAGTATTGACGTCATGCAGAAGGTCCCATGGCAACATAATATAATGTGCTACAATACAACATATGGCAACATGATACAATGTGCTCCAACACAGCCCATGGCAACATGATACAATGTGCTCCAACACAGCCCATGGCAACATGATACAATGTGCTCCAACACAGCCCATGGCAACATTATACAATGTGCTCCAACACAGCCCATGGCAACATGATACAATGTGCTCCAACACAGCCCATGGCAACATAATACAATGTTCCCCAACACAGCCCATGGCAACATGATACAATGTGCTCCAACACAGCCCATGGCAACATTATACAATGTGCTCCACACAGCCATGGCAACATATACAATGTTCCCAACACAGCCCATGGCAACATGATACAATGTGCTCCACACAGCCCATGGCAACATTATACATGTGCTCCAACACAGCCCATGGCAACATATACAATGTGCCCCAACACAGCCCATGGAAAACATATACAATGTGCTCCAACACAGCCCATGGCAACATAATACAATGTGCTCCATCCAACACAGCCCATGGCAACATAATACAATGTTCCCCAACACAGCCCATGGCAACATAATACAATGTTCCACAACACAGCCCATGGCAACATAATACAATGTGCTCCAACACAGCCCATGGCAACATTATACAATGTGCTCCAACACAGCCCATGGCAACATTATTCAATGTGCTCCAACACAGCCCATGGCAACATTATACAATGTGCTCCAACACAGCCCATGGCAACATGATACATTGTGCTCCAACACAGCCCATGGCAACATTATACAATGTGCTCCAACACAGCCCATGGCAACATGATACATTGTGCTCCAACACAGCCCATGGTGTAACGGGGGTTGGGGGAAATAGCTCTATCTTGTCCATTATTCCACCCCCCAGTTAACTAACGAGGCCGGGGGAAACAGCTCTCTCTAGTCCGTTATCCCGTCCCCAGTTAGCTAACTGTTCTAGAGCACCTCCATAGTTCCTAAGGCAACCTCTCTCGTTCAACACCTTGTAACCTAGGTATTTGACTACCTAGGTGCTAAGACTACAAGGCGCCGAGACTTGATCAGTTACCCGAAACTCTAGAGAGAGAGAACTCTAGAATACATATTCACTGCCACAAACGTATAAGAGAAAACGAAAGGAAAGAAATGAATAGTGCAGTAATTAGTGAGGGTTTGGGGTGAGAGAGGAGAGAGGTGGGAGGAGCGAGGAGGGTCATTAGTTGAAAGTGAGAGTTTAGAGAGGGGTGGAGGGAGAGGTGTAGATAGGTAGAAGTAGAAGAGTAGATAATAGAAGTAGATAGTAGAAGACGAAATGCTGCCACCATCCATTCATGATCATTACATACAAGACAAGGAATGGAACTTGTCTGTATCACAAAATTCTCAAAAGATGTTATCAAGGTCATTATTGATATGTCCCATCTCTATCCTGTACTCATTCTAAACCATGAAACCAGTAATCACAGAGGCTTTCTCACCTCAACTCAAAATTTCTAGGAACACAGTGAAAGACCATTTAAATAATAAATTCAACAATTATATTTTTCATGATAAATATCATAACTTAAGCAATCCAATTAAAATGTTAAAGATTAATATTCACAGTGAGTCATCCTCCAAGAATCTGAGAACACTACAACTGACTGCCCCTGATCATCACACAACACTTGTAAAACACGACCAAGTCACCTTACTGCTCAACTCACCAAGTGTCTCTGCCTATAGCTGGATAGAGGGGGGAGGGGTCTGTAGCTTGACAGAGACTGTCTCGCCCTGCCGGCCGACAGCCTCCCTGCTAGGGACGTCTTCTCTGCTCTGCTGACTGCCGTTCTTCTCTGTCGTTAATGCTTAATGCTCTCGAATCGATCGCTCTCCGAGTATATATTGGGGGAACCTAGTAGCTAACTCCGCCCACAAGTAGATAGCCTCCGGCACTCTACCAAGCCACTCCTTAAACGTCGGCATGTTTGAAGGCTACCAGGCTCCAATTATGAGATTAGTAGAAGTAAGGTGAAATTCGCATGATCTGACCTCAGGTCACTTGGGGTCATTAACGCTTTGAGGTGTGAGATCTCAGGCCGACAACCTGGCGCCTTTCCAAATCCCTGTCTGTGACTCATGTACTATATATATTTTAAATAAACTAACCAAACACTTTTACAGTGTTACAATGGCAACATGATACATTGTGCTCCAACACAGCCCATGGCAACATAATACAATGTGCCCCAACACAGCCCATGGCAACATATTACAATGTGCCCCAACACAGCCCATGGCAACATAATACAATGTGCCCCAACACAGCCCATGGCAACATATTACAATGTGCCCAACACAGCCCATGGCAACATAATACAATGTGCCCCAACACAGCCCATGGCAACATATTACAATGTGCCCCAACACAGCCCATGGCAACATAATACAATGTGCCACAATACGAACCGAGACGCATAATACAACCCCACAGTAGAGAGGGAGCCGAAGCCTTCAGCTGGCCACTGACGAAATGTCATATAACGTTACTGAAAAGAGGAGAACTACCAAACGGTTAAAAGACAGGCGATGCAGTACCAATATACACAGCTGAGAAATATACAGGTGGCGCTAGATTACAAGGACAGTGTCCCTTACTTGTATATCATTAAAGGTGACGGAAGAGCCCGAAAATAAGAGGCTCGTAGTGCAACAAAGTTGCAACCACTACAGTTGGCCTCAAGTAAGTGTAAAGTAATGAAGCTGGGTACCAGGCACTGGAGGCCGGATACCAGGCACTGGAGGCCGGATACCAGGCACTGGAGGCCGGATACCAGGCACTGGAGGCCGGATACCAGGCACTGGAGGCCGGATACCAGGCACATGGAGACCGGGTCTCCAGGCTCTTGTAGGCCGTGTAAAAGGCACTGGAGGCCGGATACCAGGAACCACATGGGAGACAAACCTCTCCTGGCTCTTGTACAGTGAAAAAGACCTGGGAGGTCACATCTAACCTGTCACCAGAAGACCTGGGAGGTCACACCTAACCTGTCACCAGAAGACCTGGGAGGTCACACCTAACCTGTCACCAGAAGACCTGGGAGGTCACACCTAACCTGTCACCAGAAGAAGAAAGCACAGAAGAAAACTGCACTTATGGAGCAAAAGGACAGCCCCCCCCCCAAAAAAAAAAAAAAAAAACTTGCAGGAGGCCGTATCACTGGCCTCGTGGGAGTGCAGGCCTCGTGGGAGTGCAGGCCTCTCCCTGTACTGCAAGAAGTGGCGAAGCCTCTGCCTTAGACTAACGCTAATGACTAATTATCATACAACAAATGTAACAGTTGGCCAAACATGTATATAAACCAACAATTATATACAAAACAAGTTGGAAAACACGCACAGCACAGTAAGTATAATAGGCTGTTTCAACACAAGACAAGTAGCAGCACACACACAAAGCAAACACGAAACTGGAACGCAATACAAACCCATAACTCAGCCATGACACTACACATAAAGCAAGCGAAATAACGCGTTAAACAAAAACAACAAATGGTATATCTGGTCAGTATACCGCCGTCAACACACATGAGGGGAAAACAACGTAACACAGACCATATACACTGACGGATCACTCAATACAGCTACAGAGAAGGCAGGAAGTGCTGTTATTGCTCATCAGCCCGATGGCAGCACAATTCAAAGGGAGGACTAGCTTGTCTAGCTTATCCGGGTCTCCCCTAAGCAAGGATGAGCCTGCTGCTGCTGCCTGCGTACTCTCCAAATCCTCCGCTGTCAAGCCCCTGACGGATCGCGGGACCTCTCCTGGCGTCAACAAATAACAAAACAACCCGTCACGCCACACACAAAGCAGCCCAAGCCGACCCGCCACAGTAACAAGGACAAACATACACAATCGCGGAGTAACAAGAGTCTTACGTTGAAAATCGTGTTGACTGCGCTTCCCATCCTCTCGAAGGTCAGACCCTTAAAGAAAACGGAGACTTATACAGCATACTGCTGCATTTGGGAGAATGAGACATGATGGACAACATCATTTTCGCTTCACGGCCAAAACAAATATGGATTGAAATGTAAAATTTAATATTAGAGTATTATTAAATTATTTTTAGGAAATGTTGCATATAAAAGCTTAGATCCATCCTAAGGAAACATACACATGTAAGCTTAAACATGTATTAATATTTAAAAAAAATTATTTATTTATTTATTTATTTATTTATTTATTTACACTTATTTACACACACACACACACACACTGCAGCCCATATCAAGAGGATAACATCAGCGGCATATGCCAGGCTGGCCAACATACGAACGGCATTCAGAAACTTGCGTAAAGAATCATTCAGAACTTTGTATACCACATATGTCAGGCCAATCCTGGAGTATGCAGCCCCAGCATGGAGTCCATATCTAGTCAAGGATAAGACCAAACTGGAAAAGGTTCAAAGGTTTGCCACCAGACTAGTACCCGAGCTGAGGGGTATGAGCTACGAGGAGAGACTACGGGAATTAAACCTCACTTCGCTGGAAGACAGAAGAGTTAGGGGGACATGATCACCACATTCAAGATTCTGAAGGGAATTGATAGGGTAGATAAAGACAGGCTATTTAACACAAGGGGCACACGCACAAGGGGACACAGGTGGAAACTGAGTGCCCAAATGAGCGACAGAGATATTAGAAAGAACTTTTTTAGTGTCAGCGTGGTTGACAAATGGAATGCATTAGGAAGTGATGCGGTGGAGGCTGACTCCATACACAGTTTCAAGTGTAGATATGATAGAGCCCAATAGGCTCAGGAACCTGTACACCAGTTGATTGACGGTTGAGAGGCGGGACCAAAGAGCCAGAGCTCAACCCCCGCAAACACAACTAGGTGAGTACACACACACACACACACACACACACACCACACACACACACACACCACACACACACACACACACACACACACACACACACACACACACACACAGTCTACTCGAGGCTGGGTAGACAGCCCTCAAGGGTTGTAGTCCTAGGGCCCAGGGTTCGATCCCGGCGCCGGCGGAAACAAATGGGCAGTTTCTTTCACCCTAATGCTCTGTTCACCTAGCAGTAAATAGGTACCTGGGAGTGAAACGGCTGCTACGGGCTGCTTCCTGGGGGGGGGAGAGGGTGATGACTAACTCCTGAGTACCTATTTACTGCTAGGTGGACAGGTATATGAGGTGAAAGGAAATGCCCAACCATTTCTGTGCCACCCGGGATTCAAACCCGGAATTCTTGATTGTGAGTCGAGAACGAGGTCTATTGTACTACCGAGACCCTCGGTAGTAGATATGATAGGTAAAACCTAGGTCGGGAGTCAGTACATCAGACAACTGATGGACAGAAAGGCGGGGTCCAAGAGCTAGCAACTGGATGTTGCGGGTATAAATAGTATATACACAACTTTAGGTATGTTAGGTATACTTTTGGGTACTGTATGTACCAGCTGTATGTATCTATAAATCAATCACAATGTTTGTAACTCTGCATCTATGTATGTAGTTTTCCTAAATAAAATATTATTATTATTATTATTATTATTATTATTATTATTATTATTCTAACTCACTTGAGATGGTCCATGAGCGCGTGATGAGTGAGC